GTAGATGTTCAGTATTCTGGCAGGTTACAATTAAAGTATGTACAAACCATAGACTAGGAGGCTGAATGGTTTGGTATTTACATGAGGTAGCTTTATTATACAAAATATACACTCCTAATGTGTTGTTTATAATAGACTTATCTGTGTCTAATGATATATTTATAAGTGACAGTACTTAACAAGGTTACAAGTTTCCCATGTTCTTAACTGCACAGCTTTTCTAGCAATCAAGGCAATATGTAGTAACACAATTCTTTCCCTAGCACTCTTTTAAGGACTGGGAATTCCTTTTCCTAGGACTTTATACTTAGCCGTATATTTTCCTCCACCCTCTAGTCCTTATTCAATGATGCTTAAAAGTTTGTGAACCCTTTGGAATTTTCAGTATTTCTACATAAATACTGTATGAACCAAAACGTGATCTGTTCTCCATGCAAATCATAAAACTAGATAAAGAGAACACAATTAAGCAAATGAATCGAAGACATTATATTTGTTCATTTATTTATTGAGGAAAATTATCCAAAGCTACATGTTTGTATGTGGCAAAAGTATGTGAACCTTTGCTTTCAGTAACTGGTGTGATCCCCTTGGGTAGCAATAATTGCAACTAAGCATTTCCAATAACTATTGATAAATCCTGCACATTGGCTTGGAGGAGTTTTAGCACATTCCTCCGTACAGAACAGCTTCAACTTAGGGATGTTGGTGGGCTTCCTTGCATCATCTGCCTGCTTCCACAACATTTCTATAGGATTAAGTGAAGGCTTTGGCTTGGCCATTCCAAAACATTAACTTACTTCTGCTTTAACCATTTGATGGTACGACTTGTGTGTTTTGGGTTGTTGTCTAGTTGCATGACCCACTTTCTCTTGAGCTTCAGCTCACAGACAGATACCCTGACATTTTCCTGTAGAATTTGCTGATACAGTTCAGAATTTATAGTTCCATCAATGATGACAAGCCATCCTGATCCAGAGGGAGCAAAGCAGCCTCAAATCATGAAGCTGCCACCACCATGTTTCATAGATGAGATAAGCTTCTTATGCTGGAATGCAGTGCTTGCCTTTTGCCAAACATAACACTTCTCATTTAAGCTAAAAAGTTCTATTTTGGTCTCATCCATCCACAGAACATTCTTCCAATAGCCTTCTGGCTTATCCATGTGGTCTTTCACAAACTGTAGACAGACAGCAATGTTCTTCTTGGAGAATAGTGGCTTTCTCCTTGCAATCCTGTCATGGACACCATTATTATTCAGTGTTCTCTTGATGGTGGTCTCATGAATACTGAAATTTTCCAATGCAAGAGAGGCCTTTAGTTCTTTAGATCTTACCCTGGGCTTCTTTGAGACCATCTGTGATGGAATGAATCTATGAAGAAGAGGGGGATGTGGGGGATAGAAGCAGAGATCAAGGCTATCAGGAAGGAGGGGGTGCATTCAGAAAGGGAAAAGAGGCAAAAGACAGCACAGTCTGCAGGAGGAACGTGGGAAGCGAAGGAAGTTCGGGATAGCCACTCCCTAGAATCTCCCAGGGTATATCCACTTGTTGTAGTAGCATAGATTTAGTCTGGCAAGATTCTGTCTATAGGTGTAAACTAATAAAGGAACTTGACTCAACTGGACTGTTTCACCGTTATTCTTGGGCTGGGCCTGACATCTCCTGGCATATTACACACCTTGCTCTTGGTGCAATCTTGGATGGTGAGCCACTCCTGGGGAGAGTAACAATGGTGTTGAATTGCCTCCATTTGTACACAGTCTGCCTGACAGTGGACTGGTGGAGTCCAAACTCTTCGGAAATAGTTTTGTAACCTTTTCCAGCCTGGTGAGCTTCAACAATTTTTGCAGAGATCCCCAGAAATCTCCTTTCTTTGAGCCATGACACACTTCCACATAATTGTGTTGTGAAAATCAGACTTTGATAGTGAATACCCAGAATTCTGTTCTTTAAATCAAACATGACCTCCCACACTGACACCTGATTATCATCCCACTGATTGAAACCCTGATTCTTAATTTCCCCTTTAAATGAACTGATAATCCTAGAGGGTCACATACTTTTGCCACACACAAATATGTAACTTTGGATCATCTTCCTCAAAAAATAAATGAACAAATATAATGTTTTTAGGACTTGGATGGAGAATAAATCATGTTTTAGGTCATATTTATGCACAAATATTAAACATTCAAAAGGGTTCACAAACGTTTAAGCACCACTGTACTTCAGTAGGTCCTGAAGTAGCCTGGTAATTTTTCCCTTTTACTGACTTGCTTCGCTATCTCTCAGTGCTTATCTGTTTGTAGGAGGGAGAGAAAACAATGACTTGTTGATGGCTGGCTGTAGCTAGTGTGTAACTTTGGAAGGCTTGTCAGGCTGTTAAACTCAACTACTCCTTACTCAGCAGTGTTACCTTCAGAGATTTGTGCTCACTCCACCAAATTGTTGATGTTCAGTTTCACCTCCTCCACACACAACTAGCTTCTCCTAAAGGTATCCAACTCAACTTCCTTTCTCTCCTACCAACCCACACCTTATGCCTTAAGCATTTCTCTTTTATCTCTCTGCAGTATAGGTATAGTCCTTTACTCTCCTAAAGTCCCAGGGAACACAACACCATAAGGAAGGAGAACACTTACATCATCAGCCTTGAGTCTTTGTTTGCACAAGTATAGAAATTTTAAAGGGGAGGAACTTCTTCTGAATATGAGTTTTGATTTGTTGTTTGTTGATTTCCTTATGACAATTATGAATGACAGCTCTTCTTACTGCTGTATGTAGTTACCAGAAATAGAAAATAGGATGTACACCATATGCTCAAAATTCAACTTTCATTTAACCTACCATCTGTTTAATTGTTTGTGATTTTATTGCTGCATTTCAAAATTGCTATTGTTGCTTTTTATGGGGTAGCATTTAAACTAAGATACCCATGAGAAGCCTAAGTGAAATTAGTGAGACAATTAGTATGACAAACTTTTCCCATCTATTCGATTGGACTTATCTATGATTAACTTACTTAATTAAGTTTGGTGATGGCAATGAGCTTTGAAAACCACTTTTTAAAGGTAGTATATAAACATTATAAGTTAATAAATTCACAACATTATAGTATATTCTGAAATATTGTTTCTGTTTTGAAATTTGCTCTAAAGCCTTGGTTTTTAATATTTACAGGCCTGTCACTAATGTCCCTTTCTAGGGATGGAGCTTAAGGGTGCACAAATTATCATTCCCCTATAAGATCAGGTTTGGTTGCCTTGGCAGATGATGTTTACAGGGAGAAAGTCAGGGAAGTGCAGCCCTGTGGATCATTCAGCAGCTTTTAAATACGATTAAATATGTCATTCTTCTGTACTCACTCTGTAGATTGGGAGCTGGGGACATGGATTTGCAATGATTCTGTTCATACCTGCAAGGTCAGTTTCAGAGTCTGAAGGGGTTCTACAGGCTTCCCTTCTATAACCAATTTTGTTCAATATAAATTGAACAATACGAAGCTATGAGGGTGATCATTAGGAGATTAAAAAATAATATTAATTGATGTATTGAGTGTCAATTTTGTTTCTCTATATCAGCTAAGTCAGGAGATATTGAGCAGGTATTACAATCTAATAATGAGGCTTTCAAGGATTCTCTTTAAACTTTCTATGCAGCAACCTGGGAGAGGACATTCACATATAAAAACATCCTGAAAGTCGAATTACCACTTTGTTCAGTTTGGTTTGGTTGTAAGTTTTCCATACAGCTAAAGATACACGTATTTACCTAAGCCTGTCGTTAATTTGTGTCTTGAAGCTTCTGCTTTACTATTAATGATCTGGCTGCATTGTCCTGTGTTATGATTTTTTAAACTTGCCTTGTGGTTTTAAACATGTTGCTATTTTTAGTGTATTAAAATAGTGTAATGTTTATATTTGTTGAATCTCCACTTTGGTATTGTTTTATAAAAAGAATGATAGGAGCAAATAAATATTGTTTAATATTTTCATTATTTTCATTATTTTGGTTCTTCAGAACGCAAGGCTGACCTGTCACACAACACTGATAAGAGTATTCATTATTTATTTATTCATTTAAATTTCTAGGCATTTTTATCCTACCAAGATAGCTATCCTTAGATAGAAGAGCATCCTTCTATCTAAGATAGAAGAGGAAGGTGACTGCATTAGAATTTCCCTTCCTTTTTTATAAAACCAGTGTTTGGGATTGTGCTGCCACAATTCATGTTGGCTCTGGTAGGAGCAAAATAATGCTGTTGTAAGTAGAAAAACTATTACCTGCCCACTATCTATTGCATACTAAGAGATATTGCATTTAGATGGCCTAGTATTCAAATACTCATTGAACACTACTTGTTCATTCCTAGATGTCATTTTGGTATTTATCATATCAATACAGTGTCTCATGCAGCTTCATAATTTTTCAAGCCAGCCAGTAGAAATATAAAGTCAGGTTTGTTCCATTACTCACAAAGGGATAGGGAATTGGTGACCCTCCAAGTATTGCTGTACTACAGCTCCCAGTAGCCTCAGGTGGCATGGCCAATGGTGAAGAATGCTTGAGATAATTATTCACCAACATTTAGAGGACCATGTTTCTTATCCCAGTGTTCATAAAAAAAAAAAAAAAAACACACATCAAATAGAATTGAAGTGAATATATGGGTAGTACTCACTTAATGACTTTAATTGGGACCAGAATTTCCATTGCCAAGCAATGTGATGGTTAGGCGATGCATCACATGACTGCTCCACTTAGTGACCACAGTTTCGGTAGTCCTGGTTGCAGTCATTAGGCCAGGACCATGCTGTTGTTACATGAGGATTTCACACTTCTCCTGCCCTGCTGCGTTTGCCTCCACTTCAACTCCCCTCACCCGCCTATCTCCCTCTAATCTCTGCCTTTTTGACTGCAGAGATGTATGTATGTATGTAGAATAATGCAAAGCAAGTATACAGTAAACTGAACTCTTTTTTTTTTAAATCCCCACAGCATATAAACAATGATCACATACATGGGGAGAAGAAGGAGTTTGTATGTCGATGGCTTGATTGTTCTCGAGAGCAGAAGCCATTCAAGGCCCAATACATGCTAGTTGTACATATGAGGAGACACACAGGAGAAAAGCCACACAAATGCACTGTGAGTAAATACTATTATAATAAGCCAATGGAGGCCTATCTTTCTTTTTTGCTTCCTTCTTTTTGCATGTATGCAGTTTGGCCATGTTAGAATGCACTTAAAATATTATTATGTAGAAAGCAATGTTTGTACACTGTTGGAGTTTCTTCTTATTCATAAATTATCTACATTTGTTGGTGATGTAGATTTCTTTGCTAGAGAGCATACTGTGAAGAATATGCAAAAAGTCTTGAAAGCTGAAATGGGATTAAAAATGAAACAATGGGTATTATAATGTAATATAATACAATGTATAATGTAATATAAAAATCTGCCCCAAACTTGTTATCCCATCTTGAAAAATGTAGAGCTAGAAAAAGTGAAAGAAATGGGGCATCTTCTCTATGAAGATTTGAAGTTCAAATCAGAATATGATCCATTTAATGACATTTTATAAACATACTGAACATGTGGTTTCTATGAATCAGCCCTTACAAAAATATAACAAGAGAGAAAATGATCTCTCTTCAACCTACCAGATACTTCATGAAACCGAGAAACCGAGAATTAAGCCAACAGCCTCTTTTAAGTAACTGGATTTAGAGATATATATCCTTTCCACATGGAGTTCAACTAGCTATTAGGATTAATAGCTTTGAAAAGTAATATTCTACAAATATGTCTACTTTTTTTAAAAGATGGGTAGGTTAGCAAATGTCACCGCATCTTGTGATATGAATGTTATAAGAATTTCTATCTTGGGCTTTCCCCAGTCAAGCATGGTTACAAATTTTGGGACTTGCAGCCTCAATACATCTGGAGGACACCAGGTTAGGGAAGGCTTTATTAGTCCCTTTTTAAATCACCATCTATATCTGGAAGCTTGAACTGAATTAAATCTAAGCATGTGTGCATACGCTCTCTTTTTGTGAGATGATGGATGGATGGATGGATGGATGGATGGATGGATGGATGGATGGATAGATAGTTTATGCAATCCTAGGTCTTCTTTTGTCTAGTAAAGATTATTACTAGGTAAGCATGCATAGGTTTGCAGTGTTGCCATTGCCCTAGAATATCAAAATAATCATTGTTCCTTTGTGTACAAGCATCCTTCCTTAAATAATGAGACCAGCTAGGCTTTTATTTTAGCTTGGGATTATAGCAGGCTCATTGAAAAAAAGAAGAAAATCTTGAACACATTGCTATTATGGCTGGATCTTGAAAGCTGCTTTCCCTTTGATGTGGGATATTTTACTGTATTATCCCTTCTCCCACTCTCCATTTTCTATAAACAAATGTTTAGAATAATCTAATTGTACATGTTGTCTTCAGTTTGAAGGCTGTACGAAGGCCTACTCCAGGCTAGAAAACTTGAAAACCCACTTGAGATCTCACACTGGAGAGAAACCATATGTTTGTGAACATGAGGGCTGCAACAAAGCATTTTCTAATGCATCTGATCGTGCCAAACATCAAAACAGAACTCATTCTAATGAGGTAAGAAAACACATGGGTAGTATAATGTTCAAACTATGCATAAACTTAGTGCTATCAAAACTGTTTATTGTAAAACATTTATTTACAGAACAACTGTATATTAGAAATATGTGAAGACATGAAACTCAAGAAGAAAAGAAGATGATTTGGAAGCAAGTAATTGCTTCTAGAATCTGAGTTTCCTTTTATAAATCTGCTTTAACTGCTGGGACATCAGGAATAACTTAGATTCTGCCACATACAAATAAAATCCTGTTTGTATCATGAGATAGACCCAAACAAAGCAGTCTCTGAGTGGTTTTATAAGGAAAATTAGGTGCAAGATTTTGTCAGCATTTTTGAGTGATCTCTAGCTCAGCCACTCCTAGCCAGTATTTGTGTAACTCAGCCACTCCTAGGCAGACTTTACCTGAAATGTGCCTGATAGCTCCTGGATTCAGCCATATATTTGATTATTGGTTCCTATTCTCTCTCACTTCATCTGGGAGTGGTATGACATGGTTGCTAGAAGAAAACACAGATACTATACATAATCTGAAGCTGCATCACTACTGATAATTGATCATATTACCCATCTTTCATTTTTTATGGATTTTGGTTAGTGATAACACACATGAACAAAAATTATGTGTACAAGCAACATCATGTACATATTATGCAAGCATTTCCTGGATGCACAACTCTTTCTTTCTGTTTAGAGACTGGCCTAAAATGTATTAAAAAGGCAAACTAAGGGTGCAATCCTGAGGCAACTGTGAATAAAGTAGAAAGGTAATTTCTATCAGTATATGGAGGAGAGTAGGACCTCCTCCTAGGATCTCTAGTGTTAATTATTTATTTTTCAATATTAGAGGATAGTTTATTAAAGTCAAAACTATTTCACATGAATCATAGTTCGCATGGATAATAATAATCCCATTGATTAAGCTAGTAGTCCAATTCATACTTATATAAATGAGATCAAAGCCAGTTATCAATTTGTTGAAAGAGGAAATATATATTAGGGAAAAAGAACTAGTTTTTCCCTAATATATATTTATAGTGATATTTTGGTGAGTTTAGACTTACCAAACAGGTCCTGGTTCAGATTCTTCCATGACTAGAGACTCTACCACATTACTTCAGTCAGTCACTCTCAGCTCAACTTATATAACAGGTTTGTTGTTACTGGTATAAAAGAAGGGTAGATCTCTCCCCACTCCCCAAGTATGCCATCTTTAGCTGTCAGAGTCAAGACAAATATTCCATCCAGTAAATAAAGGTGGAAAATGGAAGAACCTAAAAGAAACCAAAACCAATGGTAGCACTCTTTCCATTTACAGAAACCCTATGTCTGCAAAATACCAGGCTGCACAAAGCGCTACACAGACCCAAGTTCTCTCCGAAAGCATGTAAAGACTGTACATGGCCCTGAAGCGCATGTCACTAAGAAGCAACGTGGAGATATCCATCCAAGACATCCACCGCCAAGAGATCAAGGCAGTCACTCCCAAACTAGATCCCCAGGCCATCTGACTCAGGGTGCAATTGGTGAGCAAAAGGACCTCAGCAACACTACCTCAAAGCGTGAAGAATGCCTCCAAGTTAAAGCTGTTAAGTCAGAGAAGCCAGTGGTATGCTACAACTTCTGTTTATTTTTGTTCCTTAGATATAAAAGTGTACATTGTTCATTCATTTATTATGAAATATTACAGCATTAACCATTTGGTGTTTTCTTCAGAATAACTGTTTATAATAAGGAGAAAGCTATTCTGTCTCACAATCACTATGTAGTATAAGGTTAAAGAAACTCATCAAACACAGAGAATGGTGAACTATTTCTAGATTTAATGGGTTGAATTTTCACATAATTTTTATACTCAGATTTGTGTTTGCTTGTTTTGGTGATAGATGTGATAGGGGAGTGACAACTAAGTGCTGTGGGTTGTCTAATCTTGAATGCATTTGTGTATCTACAATATTCTCACACTATTTAGAGGTTAAAATTAGTAGTTATATGCATTAATGCAAAGATTATAAAATCTGAAGCCTATTCACATTTGAATGACGGTAACGACCATCATGTATAATAATTTTGTTAACAAAATACCTTGTTATCAAGACTAACCAAATGTTTCCCGTTAGAATACATGGTAATCTAAATCTGTATAAATTGCACTGTGTTGGCTTGGAAGTTTAGATCATCTACGTCTGTCACTGGGCCTTCCAAAGCAGTTTTTCTGTTTAACTCACAGTCCTGCAGGACTCTTTCCTGTGAAGGCCTCCTCAAAATGATTGGGAATTTTGAACTTTTCCCAAGAGTGTATACTTAACATTCGAAAATTAGTTTCTACAAAATAATAAATATAAAAAATTACTTAGAATAACTTAGTTCAGGCGTGAACGAACTGCAGTTCCCATATGCTCTGAGCCCATAGTTGTGGCTCCAGAGCATACCACTTTATCGATATTCCGTTGCAAAACCATTGAATTTTAGGGAAAGCAATTATTTCACAGTTTTTCAGGAAAGGAAAAAAAAAATCAGGTGGTGGCCAAATAGGTGCATTATTTATTGTGGACTTTGCAAATGTGCCTCTTCCTTAACTGACTGCTAATATAAAAGTAATAATAGTTTTATAAAGTTTTATGATAAATTCTGATCAATTACAAATATAATTTAAAATCATAAATTGCAAGTAATATTGTCCTTATACAGTAAGTCAGAAAGAACTTAGCCTTAATTTGTCTATGAATAACACTTCTATTGGAAATAGAAATTTTCATGACTTAATTCCCCACCCCCCAGAAAATAATCTGTTTTTGAAAGACAGATGTGAAAGAGATACAGTTAATTGTGGATTATATGCTACTGTATATACCTAATATAACCATCTGTAATATTTTTCATGATACGTTACCCTGTCCTAGAAATCTGTGCAAATTCTGATACTTCTACTCAGGTTCTGTGTTAAGATAGCCATTCTTTTCTATGGAGACTGGGAACTGCCTGTTTGAAGAATGAGTTTCCTCAGCTGACTTGAATAGATGGTCTGTCCTATATCCAGAAGCTCTTTTCTTTTGTCTACAAACCTGATGTTGGATCAGAAATTGGCCCTGAGTGACTAAATGTTAACGTAATGGTATTTAAGGTGTACTAGAAACGATTTCCTAATAAAGTTAAGAGTTCAGTATCTAAATATCTTTGAGAGTGAAGAGGGCAAAAGTGACTATTTTAAGAATAACATCAAATATACTGCAACATAAAATTGGTGCTAAAATAATTGATCTGTGTGCATTGTATAACCATATGTTTTATTTCTTTTATTTTACTAATCCAATATTTCTTCTACCTAATGCTCTTAATGCCATGTTCTATCTTCCTAAGGACAGTGGGTAATAAGGTGAGGGGATTTTAACTTCTCCGCATTTTTTTCATTGCTGTTAAAAAAAAATCATTTACTTGTTGTTTGAAAACATTTCATTAACTGTATTCACAACTGTTATAAAATCATACTTTATAACAAATGGCATGCAAACCAGTTAGCTGTAAAATCAGTCTTACATGGATATGTAGATATTTGCATATACATCTGTGATCATTCTCTAGCTGTGACTGCTGTGAAGAATTTGCCAGTGGCAAGAACAGGCTTCTGACCCTCAGATTTCTTCATTCAGCTAGCATGAACCTGTAGCCATCACAATAGCATTTCAGGTTGAACTAAGTAATTTAAAAGTTCCCACTGAAGGTTCAACTAAATGCGTATAACACAATATATTATCAGTGTGGCAGAATACTTTGATTTTGTTGCCAGTTGGTCCTGAAAGTTCTTGCCTGCTTATCCCACATGATGGCAATGATCATGTTGTTAAAACATTTGACAATCCAGATTTGATTCCAAAACAAATTAGTCCACAAGAAGTATGTCTGTAGAGATAAAGAGTTGACAGGCAATGCTGTAACAAATATGTTGTAAAAAGATACTGAGGAGGCTGTTCTTGAAAGCAAAATAATTTTGCATGTCTAAATTAGGATTGTATGGATATTGAATCTCTGCTGCAGCACTAAAGCTATGCCAGCTGAAGTTCTGAGTACTTTAGTTTTTCATTTCCAATTACTACTACTACTACTACTACTACTACTACTACTACTACTATTATGGTTGATGATGTTGTTCATGATGAAGATGATACTAATGGTAGCATCTACAGCTGCAGAAGTAGACTTCTAGATGTTTGGTTCCCTGAAACATTTTGGAGCAGAAAATGGGGGAGAAAAATCTCCATGCTCTAAGTGCATTGGGAACTGATTCAAAATGCAATCCCATACATGTTTTTATGTGACTGCAGTGAGCTCAGTGGAACATAACTCCCATATTAATGATTATATAACTGCAGCCCTAGCTTGTTGACTTGGCACATATTAATGAACAGTTTTAAAACTACTATTAGAAGAATAGTTTTTTCAGCTGCTAGTAATGTGAACTCAACATTAGCAAATAAAAGTCAATATACTATATTTAAATGATATATACTAAGTAATTCAAAGCTGTATTTGAGATTGTGTTATTATTCAACTTTATAGAGAGGTAAGTATGGTCCAATTTTGCATCAGGAATGTGGGAAGAGAGTCCTCTGGCACCTTCAAAAGTACTTTTATTTCACAGATGAATTAAGTTGGTGGGAGGAAGGAAGTGTAGAAAAGCAGAATTGTTTTGGTGATTGGAGCAAAGAGAAAAAATGCATTAGGAATATCAGAAATTTTACTTAGAAATATTTGTTGTTATCAAAAGTTTGCTGCAAAAATTTGGAGTGTTCCTTAACTTCCAGGAAATCAATTATTCTATGAGTTTTATTCTCCTGAAGAAGGACTATGTTTACACAAATAGTTGGGTTTTTTGCAAGGGGAGAGAGCAAGGTTTCTTGAACAGTTATTTGTCTCTCCCTAAAACCATCAAACCACAATAAACTGGAATAGTTACAATTACAAAATAAAGTTTAAGCTGAAGAAACTGTAGAATTATGACGATGTACTATTGTATATATAAACAATAAATGGAGTAGTTACTGGTGTAAAAAATATTTGCCTGACTCCCATTTTTTTTAAAAAATGTTATTTTAGTTCAGGTTTGACAAACCAATGGCTTTAAGAACTATTTTTCTGTTAATCAACAGCATCCTCAATTTGGAAAACATATTCTAAAACTTTGTTTTGCTTCACCTGAATATCACTAATGTAAAGAAAACATTGCTGAACTTGTGCTTGGTAGATTGACCTGTGACACATAAATATTGCAATTACAAACCAGAACCAAATATAGGAAATGGAAGGAAAGCCTTCACAAAAACAGTTGTAATGACTGAAACTGGTAAAATTTCAGCCGCAAAGTGGTATTGATATTTTATCAGCCCTATGTACTGGATGGAACATTTCTGATGGCATGCAAGTTTTTGATGAAGCATTCTGAGTTTGCTAGTGACCTTTTTTTATATCACTGGGGAAAACATTGGTCCACTAGCATCAGTCTGTTTCTGTGTAATATTTTTCAGGAAGGAATAGCCAATATATTTCTGTTGAGGATCATGTTTCTTTGGGCTTAATCTGCTGGAGGCTGCAGCAGGGGAGGGATTGAAGTCAGCCATAAGTGGAACCAGAGCCAAAAATTTGTATGAATGACTGTTCTTTCTCTGACACTTGTTTTCCTCCAGACATCTCAGCCAAGCCCTGGTGGTCAGTCTACATGCAGCAGCGAACAGTCCTCCATCAGCAACTATGCCAACAATGGGATCGAGCTTAATCTGACCAGTAGAGGTAGTGTAGGAGACCTCAGCATCATTGATGAAACCCCTATCATGGACTCTACCATTTCCACAGCAACCACAGCTCTTGGCTTACAGACCAGGAGGAACATGACAGAGACCAAGTGGATGGAGCAAATCAAGCTAGAAAAGTTAAAACAAATCAACGGAGTGCTTCCAAGACTGAACCCCATGCCATCTTCCAAAGCCCCAGCTTTGCCACCTCTCATTGGAAATGGTAAAATGTGTTCATTTAATATAATTACTTAAAAGTATCACCTGGGTATTTGAGATTTAATTCTTTAAAAGAGAAAGTAAAAATGATGTAATTGAACTGAGCACTGCAAAAAGTCCTCCATACTCTTAACAACAGGAATATTATTCTTACCTTAGTTAAAATGAAAAATAATTTAAATAAAAGCAGAGCAATTTGCTTAGCATAGTCATAGTCATAACTGGACTGTTAGTTCAAATTGCAGCTGGAGATGATTTATTTGTATTCAAATACGGCTTCTGCTAGCAATGCATCCTAAGAATTCCAACGTTGTCTTCAAAGCTTTTCAGTTTTCACGAGTCACTTCCTCGTGAGATGGGCGGTGTCTAAATTTGAAATATAAGTAAGTAAGTAAATAAATGAATAAATAAATAAATGATTGACTGATTGATTAAATCCATTTTATATTATTTATTTTATTTTTTCCCAGTTTTTCTGCTTCAGCGACTGCTCTGATCATTTCCTGTTTAGATATCTTTAGTATTTTTGATATGAGGAAAGAACTAAAGGGATAATTTTAATTTTCTCTACTTTGTATGAAACAGGGCTATGAGGGCAGCTACTAGATCCATATACCATTCCAGCGTACCATGTATCATTCTTAACATTCTTTTTTTTTTTCCGGCCTTCCTGAATTCGGAATTTCCCATGTGACAGGCACCATCAGAGGGCTGCTAGGAAGGAATGGTACATGTAGATTTCATTGTCAGATTTTCTCCTCCAAGGTCTGATCTCCTTTTCCCTTGGTCCTTGGTATGTGGTTCTACAAGTCATGATGGCAGCCTAACTAGCTACATTAATTAATCAGCTAATTAATCAGTTAATTGGCTAGATTGCTTTATTAGAAGTTAGCTGTATTAATTTTTACTTTAAAAAAATACTTTGATTAATCAGTCACTTTTATAAAAATATTAAACATTACCTTGTAAAGGCATTCTCCATTTTCTCTCTTCTAAGAGGAAACCTTTAAAGGCACATGGATGCCATAATCTAAAAACAAGCTTTCTTGTTTACTTATTTATATTTTTAATTTTTATTCTGTCTCTTTGCACAGGAGACACTTACTGCAGAAATGCTGATTTTACCCATATACAGATGCATATGAAGATAACTGATAAATTCAAGTAATCAACTTAGGCCACATAAGCCTATACCCTCTTCTCTAGAATTAAGTTTAAATGAGCTCAAACCATTTAACCATTTATATAATTGCATTGTTAAATTCATCATACCCATAGGAGTGTTTCCAAATATATATACATCCATAGGAATAATTCCAAATATGTACACAGACATAAATACACACACACACACACACACACACACACACACAAAGTTGTAGGTCAGTAAGAAGCATCCTGGTATGGCCTCTTCTTAATATGCTGGTCTTACACATAAATAACATTGGAATATTCAGTATGATCTACTTGTTACCTGAAGCAGCATGGTCCAGCCACAAGTTAACACCACATAAAAAATAAAGTGCAATTCTACCCAGAGCAAAATTGTTACATGGACTTCAATCTATAATATGTTATGATCTGTGTATGACTCCTGAACAATATTTAACAATCCTGAATGCAGCAGCCTACATGCACACAAACCAGTCTCAGTATTACCATGTTATACCACTGCTATAGGAGCTGATATGTTTCCAAGTACAATTCAAAGTGCTGGTCAATACCTTTAAAGCCCTATATGGCTCAGGGGCAGGTATTTAAGAGACTCCCTTTCCCAAATAGTCTTTATCCATCTAACCCAGGAAGTACAGTGGGGTATCCTTAAGGGCAGTTCCCTACCTATGGTACAGTTTGCCTCCTAAGGTGAGGATGGCTTCCACCCTTATCACCTTCCAGACCTAACAAAATTTTAGCTTTTCTGAAAGGCTTTTGGGAATTTATTGTAGACCCACAGGTATGTGTTACAAATACAAGGCCATTTTCTTCAAATACATGAAACATATTTCATATCATTTCTGTATTCCTCCTGATCAGTTTTCAATATGACACATTTCCTTTTTTTCTTGTTATTTTTTTTCAGGTATTCAGTCAAATAGCAGCTGCAGTGTCGGAGGAAACATGACTATCTTAACCAACAAAAATGAAGTCACAAACATGGATATTACTGTATTAAACATGCTGAACAGAAGAGACAGCAGTACTAGCACAATTAGCTCAGCTTACATGAGCAGTCGTAGGTCCTCTGGGATTTCACCTTGTTTTTCCAGTCGGAGATCTAGTGATGCTTCTCAGGGGGACAGAAGGCTTCAGAACCTCAGTGTTGCCGACTCCTATGATCCCATTTCAACTGACGCCTCAAGGCGATCCAGTGAAGTTAGCCAGTGTGATGGCTTGCCTGGACTTCTCAGCCTTACTCCTGCACAGCAATACAGGCTGAAAGCAAAATATGCAGCAGCTACTGGTGGACCCCCACCAACACCACTGCCTAATATGGAGAGGATGAGCTTGAAAACAAGAATGGCACTGTTGGGTGATTCTAGGGAATCTGGGATGTCACCCTTGCCCCCAGTAAATTCTCCTCGAAGATGTAGTGATGGTGGGACAAATAGCTACAACAGGAGACATCTCCTGCCACATGATATGCTTGGGAATAGCACAAGGAGAGCCAGTGATCCTGTGAGACCAGTCTCCGATAACCTGTCCTTTCCAAGAGTCCACCGTTTTAACAGTCTCAATAGTTTTAACCCTCCTGCTTTGCCTCCATCCGTGGAAAAACGGAACTTCATCCTGAAGAATTACACTCGCCCAGATGTTGGTTTGTTCTGGAACTTCTGTTCCCCTTGCCCTCCAAGTATCTCTGAGAATGTGGCTATGGAGGCTGCTACCACAGAAGCGGATGGTTGTCTAAATGATGAAGATCTGTTACCAGATGACGTGGTCCAGTATTTGAATTCTCAAAATCAAGGTTTGTATGACCAATCACCAAATGATGGACTAGACAACAACAAAGAACATCACAATCCAGTAATGGAAAACAACAACAGCTTTGATCAGTCCCCTCCAGCAAGCAATTCTCAGAAAAATGACCTACCAATTCAGTGGAATGAAGTAAGCTCAGGAAGTTCTGACTTATCTCCATCAAAATTAAAATGTGGACCACAATCCTTAATCCAGCAAACTCAAACCATAGGCCTCTATAATAACATGGTTGTCCAGCAGCAGCTGCAGCATGCACTGGAGAGAAATGGCGCAACTCAACAAAATGGCTACCAGCATCTTGTAGACAACAATGCCTCTTGCAGTATAGAGCAGAATGCAATCATGAACAACAATGACACAAGTTCTTACCACCTACAATCAAGTAAAACACAGCTCTATAGTGATAAATTTGGCAGACAACCTGTGGACAATGCCTGTGATATGATGAATCAAGCCCAAAAGCTGAGAAGCCATTTCATGCTTACTAGTGGAAGCCAGCAAAATTTTGGCTATCCTGTGGTATCAGATGAGCAATCTGCCAATGTAATTAACAGGATGCAGAGCAGAAACATGATTTTCGAGGAGTACCTTCCTTATCAGTCAGTAGATGAAGTGAGTCATTGCCAAGAAGCAAAACATTCCAATAAAATGATAGAGCAAATTATAGTTCCCTCACAACCTAGCTATCAAGAACTGCTGAATTGTCTGCCACTGTCTCAGAATGGGATCCAGCCATCAGTTCTGGCCAAAACCTACCAATCCTATGCCAACCACTGTGGAGACAGATGGCAAAACACTTTAAGGAATAACATGGTGAGGCAACAAGGACTTATAATGGATGCCAACCAACCACACAGGGTCACTGGCATCAAGGTAGAATCTCAAGGTCAGTTACAACAGTTCTGCTCTAATGTGCAGAATTATTCTGGTCAGTTATATGACCAAACCACAGGGTTTAATCAGCAAGCTCTGAAAGCAGATGCTTTCTCCCTTTCAGAAGCAAATTACCTGATACAGGAGACAGCTGTTGAAAGTTCATCAGAGCTTCTCTCCCCAGGGGCCAACCAAGTGACAAGCACAGTTGACAGCATTGACACAAGCAGCCTTGAAGGTGTGCGGATTGATTTTGATGCTATCATAGATGATGGTGATCATGCCAGCTTAATTTCAGGAGCCCTGAGCCCCAGCATCATTCAAAATCTATCTCGCAATTCTTCCCGTCTCACCACTCCCCGAGCATCTCTTACATTCCCAGTTATGCCCATAAGTACAACCAATATGGCTATTGGGGACATGAATTCTTTGTTGACTTCACTTGCAGAAGAAAGCAAGTTTCTTGCTGTTATGCAATAGACATAACTTAGGGTATGAAAGTTTTTAAAATGTAATTTTTGTTAGTTGTCTTAAGTACTTTAACAATCTCATCTCACCTAAATGAGATGTGTTTCAAGTATATTCCTTTTATGGAATAAGAACTCTGAAAAACCCTAAAGTGTTCTAGGGAGAAACTGTCTTCCGTTTCAGCTTTGAATCAGTATTGTTACACATGCCATTCCTTCTTTTTTATTATTTTATTTTTTGTATGAATTTTTGTTTTTATTTTTGTAATTGTAAACCAGTGTAAATGTGTAATGTGCATGTTAGTTTATTTTTGAGGAGGATCTAATATTACAACTTACTGCTACCCAAAAGAAAATACAGTTTCGAATGATTGTTGCCAGAACTCTTATGTAACCAATTTCTAAGGCACATTACTGAGGAGATATATTGAGCTGAAGTTTGAAGTTCCATCCACCAAACTTCATTGGCAAGAATTGTTGAAAGCAAAGTGAACTAATTTATGATGTGGGAGGGGAAAATTAGTACTTTGAGGGGTTATTTCTTCTGCTCTATATCCGTGGTTTTTAAACTTTTTATCTTTGAGGAAAGAACCCTTTTCTATATCGTTTTGCCTGCTGCAGAATTTTTTCAGAATTTTCATGCAAAAAGTTGGCTTCCCCTGTTGGATTTCATCATTGTCATGTGTAAACTAAAAGCATGATTAAGTTTACAATGGATTATATTACAGGGAGAAAATCAAAGGCAATGAACAAGTTGCCATTCTGGGAATTCTGCCTACTGTTACTAATTTTCACATCTTTCTAATACGCTTCCAAAGAAGTCTAAGGTTGTCTAGAACTCATGGTAAAAATGACTGGTCTGGGCTGAGAAAATAGATAACTAAAATTAAACCTGAAATTTATCCCAATAAAAATTAAGAGTTTAAAATGGGGAGAGGAGAGGGTTAAGCATTAGATGCCCTGCTCTTATAAAAAAAAATAGTTTTGCTTTTTATCCACAAGGGTAAAATGATAAGCCTCACACTTTTTTATATATGTTGCAATGTGGACGTTAAGCATGACAACATACACCTATTAGGATAAACATACCACTCTTCCACCTCTATTATAAATCTCCTTATCTGACACTTAAATTTAAATAAAACATGCACTTTTAAGGAAGAATTAATATTCTTGTCATGTGATTTGCATACATATAAGAATTCAGGAGTTGTGTCTTTTAAAACATTTTATTCCTTGTAATCACTGTTCATTTACTACTGGAGCATTAGACTATAGCTTCAAAATAATGTAATGGTGCTATAAATGTCTCATATTTGAAACCCCTGTTAAAACTCCATTTCTTGGAGATGTAGGAAGAGTCGACACTGTGACCATCCTTGTTCCCTGACCCAAGCAAGAATTTCAAAGCTTTTAGTTGTTCAGCCAACCACAGGCAAATCCTACATGTTTTGTGTCTGATAATATGAATGTGCTATACAGTACATTGATGCATATAGTATTTAATATAGTAAAAGCAGACAGTCTTGATCAAAGGAAAGCAATAGCAAAACAAAAACATTATATGTAGAAGCATTAGCTTTTGATATAGTAAGACCAGAACTGATAGTGCTTCCACGTGCTTCCAGTGATCTACACTAATAGATGTCTATCCAAAATATTTAAAATGTTATTCATTCTTTGAGGTTTGGCATATGGTTTATCATATCTTGATATTTCACGTTATACTTTTATTGCTCCAAGTAATCCAATTTCTTGAGTTAGCTTAGCATTTGCAGCTAATTTATTTATCTCCATCTTCTCATTTGTCACTGCTGTTTTAGTTATTTTTTTAGTCTTACTACACATTCCAAAACAAATTAGCACAGTAAGTTTCATTTATTTAGTATAATGGCTCTAATGTGTATATTCTCTATGGCAGCAAAGGCTGCTTCCTAATATTTCAGGCAAATAATAAAATGATTAAAAACCCAGTTCTGGAGATTGTTTCACAACTCAGGAGTTTTAATGAAGACTTTATTGTTCCATATTCCCCAAAAACTTCCATTGCTGTTGGACTGAGACCGTGCTGGTGGATTTGAAATGGTAGGCTTTGCTAAACAGCTATATTACTTCTCAGTTAATCAACTGTGTCAGAATTATACCATGTTTTCTGCATTCAATTTCTTATGGGTAGGACTCAGGAAATATTACTGTACTGTACTTGAACCTATCGATTGGGTCCTGTCAAATGAGATAGTTGGGATATTTTTACATAATTCTCTGTCCAGTAAGACCTGGACAGTTGAATTCTAATCCAACCACTGCATTATAGCCACCAAAATACGTTTTTTATGATAGCACTCCACAGATGGGCTATAACTTTTGAAAACACTTAACCATGTGGATACCCCAGACTGTGATGACAATTTTTGGCTGATACTGGTGGATAAATTTTCTGCTTAATTGTGGGTATCCCTCTGGTGAATACTTTTATTTATTTTTATTATTTACTGTGGGTTAGATCCAAACTGGGACTTACTTAAAATAGACACATTGAAATCAGTGGGACTGAATAATTAAGTCTGAAGTCCCAACTCAAAATGTATAATATTGTATTTCTTTCTGAGTTTAGCGATAGCTGACAGAACCATGTAAAATTAACATTAAAATTGTAATTTTACCCATTGCAGCTCTTATGCAGAGTAATGCTTGTTTACCGAAAGTACTTTAAGTATTAAGTTATAGCAACTGATCTAAGTTACTGGAGAAGCTATTTTTTCCTACTATTCAAATATTCTTTCATAAGATCCATGTGGAAGACAGATGTATTTATTGTTATGCCTTCATTTCCATTAAAAAGATTGCTCATTATGGTACACTGAAGTAACAAAAGGGAGTGACAAATTTCGAATTACTATCATTCCAATAATTCAGTTTTGTAAAATATATATCTAAATCACATCATTCCATCAAGATGAGAGCAGGTGTAAGCTCAGTGCTCTTTGACAGTTGCTGTTGTTTTGCTTTGTTTTGCTTCATATTTCCTTAATTGCAACCCCTCACACAGTGGCCATTTTCTCAGTCCCTCTAAACTGGTCTTGGGAAATACTGAGGCGAAGGGCTTTAGTTGGTGAGTAGTTGGAACTTACTGCAAATCTTCTGGACCTAGAAGCTAGAACACCACAATAGCTCAACAATCATGGAAATTTTATCTTCCCAAATGCTTGTTAAGATAATACATCTGAGACTCTTTCACAAGATTCCTAAGTCCATTAGAATTTAGGCTGATTCTCAAGAACCAGTGTTTTGTTAGTAATGTGTTGTATTTTTTGTAATCTCTATATAACCTGATTCTTCAGAATGGTTTAGACTACAAATATGAACCAGAAATATTTAGTTGTATACCTCATGCTATGCATCACCTAATAATCTAGTGATACACTACATGCAGTTTGCCTAAATAATAACCACCACTTGCTCAGCCAGTTATGAAAGTGTGTTCCATTTGTACATTTGGTAGGAATTTTAACAGCAGCAACTTTAACTGGGTAATGTAAACATTATTATAAATCTGTCTTCCCAAACCTTGTGCCCTTCAGATGTATCTGACTACAATATAATTCTCCAAATGACTGAGACTGTATTCAAAAACATCTGGAAAAAATCAGATTTGGGAATGGTACTGTATACGTTTAATTTCTGTCACCAGAAACTAACTGTTGAGTTTTATATGAAATGTTCCTGGATAAAGCAGTTTAGCTTTTCTTCAATGGAACTTTTCCTTTCCTTCTCTGATGTAGATTTGTCACTTATATACAAGTAGGTACTGTTGAATTAACAAAAGATATGTTAGGATAAACCTAACTTGTCAGTCTAGAGCAGTATTCAAGAAATAAGCCTATGAGATCATTGGAGTTTTAAGGAAATATGGCTAGGCTCAGACAGGAAGGAGCTTTCCAGAATGGAACAGAACCCAACACTATGCACTTATATAAGACAGCAGTTTAGACTCTTAATTCTTACTAAAAGAAAATTGTGATATGGTACTATGTTTAAAAATGCTGGTTTCTTGGCATTAGTTATTTCTGTTTTGGATGTGATTTTTGAAGACAATATTGGATAAATCATAGACTAGTCATCCTGCAATCTTTTGCAAGACCTCTTTTTATGTTCTGTAAAAAGCTGTGTTTCTCTTCCTGTAATAGATGTGCCTTATTCTTAATTAATCTGATTTTTAAAAAAGTTGGGGGACCAAAAAATAGTGCCAAATTTTAACTGTAAAGCTTTGCTTTCCATAATAGCTTTACCGCTCTTAAGAAGACTGTCTGAATACTGTCTTGTGAGTCTTGGGCATTCACATGTCATTATCTGTGTTAGGAATTGAGTATCTTATTTGGGAAAGTTAACTTGTCAATCTGCAGATGTGTAAGATAGAAATGTGTGTTGGGGGGGTGGTATTTTCTTTTTACTTTTATAAGAAGTGTATTCTTTTTTTAAAAAAAATGTGTAAATACATTTACATATAGTAGGAATAGTATTAAATGTAGAAGACCTTAGTGGTCTTCATTTGATAAATTTGCATTTATGATCTAATGTTCTTGGGAGCTTTAGATCAGCCTAAACAGTCATAGTGCTGTGTACATATAAACTGTACTTAGGCTTTCAAAATCATTTAGCTCTTTTGTAATGAGGGATAAAATGTTTCTTACAATGTCAATAAAACATTTGTACTTAAGATTTCAGCTTGAATGTTTATTTCAGAAACTAGGGCCAAGTCTTAGCTTTATTATGAGTTACATAACATTTTCCTGCTTTTCTTCTTGAAGAAAATAAATGCCTTGATCAGTCTTCTCCTCCTTCACACCAGCTTATGACAGAGATGATCTTCTTACAGCCAGAGCCATAAACTGGAAAAATAATAGAGATGATGAAGGAAAACCCATTCTGTAGCATCATCGCTTAGCCTTAGTAGCTTTGACTCATGTGGCCAGAGAACAGCAGCTCTTTTTGAGGCGATAAAAACAAAAGCATCAGTCTTAAGATTTAAAAACATTTGTATTAAAAATGAGAAAAAAGAAAAGTAAACTGTTCTTTAAGCTTATGTAACCAAATGCCAACACAATTACAATGGGGTAAAATAAGATACTTAGTGCTTATAAACATACAAACAATATCTCAAACTTCAATCTCCCATAGATTGCTATGGGAAGATGGGCACAGCTTCAACAGACAAGACCTGGCTTAAATAGTTTAGGATGGTACAAAATTTACAAGATTTCAGTCAACATAAAGACAACTGATACTGATACCAAAATCACAGGCAAATTCCTTGAAACAATGAGCAGATATTAAAAATATAAAATCCATAAAGCAAACAAGCATACCTTGAAATAATTTGAATGAATATCCTGGCTTAGAACATTCATGCTACCTCAAAGAAGAGAAATTTCCCCCAGGTCACTTCTCCAAGTAGCTGATTCTGACAATTCCCTGAGTCCCCTAGATTGCAACCTTCAGTCAATACTTTAAGAACACTTCTTAGCTCCTGTTGACTCTGGAGGTCTCTGGCCCATGGTTCAATACCCTATCTCACCTTCAGCCTAGAGACACTCGGCTCTGATTTAGCACCCTTCCTCACTTCTAGTCCCAGAGTAGTGCAGCTTTATTCCTGCTACAGCTTTTGAGCATGGCTTAACTCTCTGCTTCTCCTGGGAATAGCTCACCAAAACCATGTGGCCATTTCCAGTTTCCATCTTGCCCGCATTTTTCAGCAATCTCTTTCCAGTGTTCTTCCTTTTTTGTCCTCCTTGGCAATATGCTTCAGTTTGTATTTCCCAGCTATCTCCCTTCCCTTTTCCTCAAGATAAAGGTTTTTTTGCCACCCAAGGCAGGACTGAGGAGAACATGCTAGGCAAGCCTAATCAGAGTTCTGCCTTTCTTTCTTGAGGCTTGGATTTTGCAGTCCATGTACTCATCTGCCTGCTCAAGTATGGTATATGTGTATTGACTGTCTGACTGAATGTGTGGGAGGAAGGCCTGCTGTGCCTCGCCTAAGTGAGCAAAGGTGGTGTTGGCCTTCACTACACTTTCATTTGCAGACTACATCTAATATTATGATGGAAAGGACACATTGTCATCATCACCAGAGCAATAGATCAGGGATTTAAAACTGAGGCTAATACTAGAAAGTGGTTGAGTCACAAAACATCCCTGTCCTACATAATTGACCAGCAAGCATTTACCATATGCAATTGATTAGCAAATTGTTTAAAGAAATGGCAGATTGGAAATATATATATTCATATATTTCCAGATCAGCCTTGACTTTTTGCCTGAACAAATATATTTGTGGTTCTATTTTGTCTGATATAATCATCCAACTTTATCAATTTTTGCTTGTCCCACTACAATACGTGAGAGAAGGAGCAAATATATCAGCAAATCATGTAAGATGAAGTGAGGAATTATACCACCTTATATTGTCTGTGATACCTGTAAGGAATATATGCTTTATTTGCAAATATATGATCAATTGTGGTTGTTTTATTGTTATACTTCATGGGGGAAAAGATCACACATTTAAATTAGAAAATTAGAAGGGAAAGTTACGGAAGTTAATTTTGAGCATATATGCAAGTTGACCTACATAAGAATTTTGAAGTCTAAAGAGGAATGTAATCTCCTCTATACACTTAATGGAAAATATTCAATGAATAATATAAAACAAAACTATTGGAAACAAAAGGAAAGTCCTAGTAAACTAGTAACATCTCATTTGAAAGATTTACAACAAAATAATACTATTTATACCATCAAGTATGTTCAGGGTACATAGTAACTGATTAAATAAATAAATAATCAATGCAATTTTTATTCTCTGTTGTGTAATACTGAGTCAAATGTAATAAAAAAATTAAATTAATCATCTTTTTAAAAATCCTTCCAAAAATTGCACATTATCAGGCTGCCACCTTAGATGCACCTTTATCTATATAACAACAACAACAACAATAATAATGCATGAAATCTATGAAAACAGATAAAGCTCCTTGATGACTTATCTCTTGAATGGTTTAGACATATATTGGTGGGATTTTTTCCTCCAATTGATTTGGAGTCTTTAATGACACTTTTCGAATGAAGTTTTCTGACCCCCTTTAAGAAGACCTAAATAACTCATTTCCTATTATCTGTGCAAGTTATTATTCACTTTTCTTGTTAGATGTTGATGGAAAATATTGACATTGGTATGTATATTATAGATGATACTCCCTCCCATCCTACACAATCTGAATGTATAACAGTTTAAGCAGTATATGGCAATATTAAATTACTACATGAAATTTATTCAAAAAAATTGGAACCAGTAGTGATAGCTATGAAACTTCCTTCATTTATGATGTGATCTTATCAAATTGTTAATCACAATGGATATAAATATTTGGCTAAAGATTCTACTGCATTTATGAGGAAAGATAAATGAGATCTGCTAAATTCCCTTATTTAAAATTGAAGGGTGGGGATTGGGTCTTTTAGGGGTAGAGGAGTCAAGCAAGATCATATAGACTTTGTCAAACAAGTTTTTACACCATTTGACTTACTGCAAAAGGAATTTAGATTGCCCAAAATTTAAAAATGCAGTACACTCAATTAACACCTCTTGATTTCCCAGTTTGGTCTAGATGCATTACAGGCATTTAAAACTCCTGAATTATTGTCAGTACTGGTGCATTTCTTGGATGAACATTGATCTGTTTTTTTTAAGCAACTAAATGATATAGTTAAGATAGATATTCATTATTTGCAAGAACTCTAGAATAAAGAGTTTGAATAGCCCAGACTACACCGTATGAAAGAATATAAAGTATGTTGTGATCATAAAATGAAATTAGTTCAACTAAGTATTTTCTTGTACATTTATTAGACATCTCAGAGACTCTTTTAAAAAGATTGGTTATCAAGTTCATTATGCAGAAGAGTAACAGGAACAAAGGGACATTTAGTCATAGTCATTTTTTCATGAGATGGGCGGCATCTAAATCTGAAATATAAATAAAATAAATAAATCATGGAATTATTTCATTATTGCCGCACTTCAGTATAATATTCCTAAATTTGTTAATGAGTACCTTTGAATTATTTACCAAAATTTTGGAATTTATCACTTTATGAAGAACTATAGATTTATTGAGAATGTGGTACAACTAAAAAGATTACTCTTCATAGTTGAAAGGCAGTAAGACCCTGGGATTACAATCTTGGATGGATGATATCTGTTTACTTTCTCCATATGAACTGGCCACCAATATTATAGACTGATCAACATTATTCCATGTGGCCAAGGCTTAATAAAAGATAAAACTTGAGCTGAATGACTCTCTATTTATCTAAATTAATGCATTCTTGTTGCTTTCATTTTGGGGGGTTTGTTTTGCCTTGTGCTTTGCAGTTACTTTAGTTTTGTTCTTTTTTGTATATTAAAGGAATAAAAATAAATGAGATATACTAATTCCTGCTTTAGCATATCATAACTTTAAAATATTTCTATAACAATATTTCTCAAATTAGTCTTAAGCAGTCTTCCTTCTCCAGACATGCAATAACTACCCAAACACTACTGTTGAGAAAAATGGCAAGACAGAAGGCTTTGCCTGGAGAGGGTGACATAACTGGATTAGATCTCTCAAGATACACTTTCCCATATAAGTTGTAGGAAGGAATATTTAATTATGTCTATGTGATGGGGTTCTTTTTGAACTGAAGGTGTATTTCGCTTTGCAAGGATAGCAACTGACACAGAAAAACAAGTCATTGGAGATTTTTATGCTTTTTACTGTCTACAGTGAAGCTATTTACAACAAGTATTTACAACAGTTATATACAACACGATCCTGGTGTTCACATGGAGTCAGGTTTCCTCCTAAGTCTTCCTTCTGGAGACTCTCCCCCTCTAGTTTTCCTGCTTCTTCCCCCTTTTTCTCCATCTCCCTCCCCCCATTCTGGGCTTGTCAAGAGAGAGTGAGAAGAAAGGAATGGGCTGGATTTACTGTAGCGTGCTCAATAGACTCTGGATATGGTCAGCTGAACACTCTCTGGTCTTCTGCCCAGTTCTTCCCCAGAGACCAGGGCTTGACCAACAATGATCCCCTCCTTTCTGTCTAGATGCTGCCTGCAGGTAGCCGAGTCTCTTCTTCCTGTCTTGGGTGAAGATGTCCTCTCTCTGGGTCTTCATTTCCCTTCTTCCAGGGAAGCCACCCAGGGACCTTTCTTCTCCCTCCCCAACCAGGAACCACCAACTGCTTTGCACACTCATATAACTTCACTCTCCAACTTTTCTCTCCAGCCACTCCATTTTGCAGTCTTTCTCTTTCCTCTCTTTCTCTCCTCTCTCTCTCTAATTCTGGATCAGACCAGCAGCATGACCCCAGCAACTGAAGAGGTGAGTGTCCCCACAGGGCTCTAGTTCCAACACCTATTTGCAAGTTTGGGCCAGTGGGACTGCTGTCTCTACATCTCCCCACAACAGCCCTGGCTAGCAGCCAGGTCAGCTCATCAGTCCTCGTGACAGCACAGCTGCCCTTCGAGGCTAGAACTGAGCTCCCTTTTCTTACTCCATTTGCTGACTCATGCCTGCAGAACAACAGCCATGCCAGGTCACTAAAACCCATATTTCACAGTCTGGCAGCAATGCAA